GCCGCCGCCGCCTCCCGCTGGGCTACCGGGCGCTGAGGCTGGGGACTGGCGTCCCTCCGGTCGCCGCGGGAGCGGCGTGCGCGCTTGGGGTGGCTTACACGGGAAGTGCACCGGCCTTTATTTGTGTATTTTCCCCAACAGTACACGCTTATTTGGAAAAAGTGCCTACTGGCACAAGTGTGCCTGGATTGTAATGATTACGAAACTCTTTTTGGAGACCTTGGCAATTTCTGCCAAGGTAATCTCTGTTGAAAGTCACGGTAAATGCTGTTAGAGCTACTGTTTGACAGCAGTGTTACTAAGACTGTTTTGGTTTGGTTTTGGGAAGGTAACTCCTTCGTTGGTTCTGTTTCTGGTATTTACAACTTAAAAGACTGGAATGAATGTGTTACTTTTGCAAGTCAGTCTTGAATTCTGACACATGGCTCTGTTACTGATGAATTATATCCATAAACTGCTTATGGATATTGTGTGCAATGCTGAGAGTGCCTGGGCTGCTTAGAGATCAATAAGGTGTGTTAACAGTTGTTAACTCACCAGTCTGTACTAGAAATGGAAAAATTTAGACTGCATGTAAATATGCAGATTAAATGGAAATGTCAGGTGACTTTCTTATCACGCAGTTCATTTTTGTTTCTTCACCAGAACTGAAAGTAAACATCCCCAAAATAACTTTGGTTAATATGTAATACTTCTCCTCCCTGAGAAAGAGAAAAAAAAACTGAGCATTAATCTTGACAGCTTTTTCTTGGAGCTAGTACAGCAGTCACCATGTGGATAGTACTGGATTTTCACTAGTGTGGGTTGTCATCATAAGTAGTAAGGAACGAAGTCAAACCTGAGCAAATAAACTCCTTGGTATTTAATTGCCTATATTCCATGCTAATGTTGCCTGCAGTGACGGTTGGAGCTGTCTGAGGAGGTTAAAACATGACAACAGTCCATAGTGGTAGGTGAATGAAGATTTCAGGGCTGTGGTAACAGTGAGGCCTTACTACAGTGAAGTTAGGAATAACTGATTTTATTTCAGTGTATGAGAGAATGCCTATTGTAACTGTTAATACAATTTTTTATATATGTGTATATATATACTTAGTTTGATAATTGAGAGAAGGTAAGAGTCATCCTTTAATTTTATTCCAAACTTAGACTACTGTATGGTAATAGGATTTCCATGCCAGGGCATGGACATATCAGCACTTTTCCCAATTGTGTTACTGTAGCACTGGGTTGATAAATAGGTTTTTGTGTGATAATTAGGAAATACTGCCTTTACTCTTATGACTCCTAAACATTCCAGTTAAAAGTTATTTGAAAAAAACTTCTTCCTCTTGTATTTGAATCCCTGTATTGCACTAAATGGATAAATATTCATGTGCAGAGTATTGATCTCATCATGTACAACTGTGTTTGTTAGTGACACATCTTCTTTGTTTGTGGAGTTCTTATTTAAGACTGAAGTAAAAAACAAAGGAAGAAACTTGAAAATAATGTCAGGTTTTCACTGCATCGAAGAGATACGTACAGTACTGATAACTGGTTTTAAAAATCTTCTGATACAGTTTTTCCAATGTAAAGTCTGAATTTTTATTGTTTCCAACATATAAGTTGAGCTTAAGGTAAAATGCTGATGATTTGCAAAATGGATGCGATACACAGTTTAACCTGTTGTAGAGATTAAGAAAAAGAAAAATATTTTCTTTTTCATCCACCTTTCTACTAATATGTAATGCATATAATGATACAGGATCAAACAGCAGTCAGTTGTGCCAGAATCAATTTTAAATTTAAAGGATGGTAAACATAATTTTTTCTATCACAGAATCCATTCAGTAAGTACAAGCATAAAACAACACTATATATATGATAGTCTTAAAGCATGAGTAGCTTACTTTCTAATTGCTGTCATCATTTGACTGCTTTATTGCACATCATGTCATGAAAACAAAATTAATTTTACTTATGGTTCATGATCAGCTGCATCATCATGTTCTTATAATGTAGTCAAGCGTTTCTTCCTGTCTATTTTGAACCTTATTGTGGAATATTTGAAATAAGAAACATATTCCATTGTAATATGTTGCTTTTCTTTGAGATGAAAACTCTCATGTCTTGTGTCATGTAATTTTTCTAAAATTAAACTTAAAATAGAGGGAAGCAAATAACAAATCACTTTTAAACATAAACAGAGTTAGTAGTAACTGAAACATGTATAATGTATAGTATTTTTATGTAGTGTCTTGTCCTGAAAGGAGGTAAAACTAGCCCACAATCTCAAGTCTTTTAAGCAATTTCTGCAAATATATGCGAGATTGTTTGAATTTTTAAACCAAGAGTTTAAAAGATAACTATTATTTCTTGTTGCCTAATTTTGATTTATCTTTTTTTTTTTTTTTTAATGTAGGTAGGAAGGATACATGTTCACTTTAAGTAGAAAGGAACATGTTCCCAAATTCATCCAACTTGGGTCATCCTCAGTTCCTTCAAAAACAACAACAGAGGGATTTCTTCAATAAGTTTTCTCTAAATATACCACCTCCTGTTCTTACTCACCAGCAGATTGCTGATACTCAGTTTAATTTTCAGAATGCAGTGTAAGTACAGTAAGATTTGATAGTGGGGTTTGGATTGAAAAAGAGAGTTAATGGTCTTTTGAAAAAAGTATGTCTGTTATGGAGGATGTTTTTTACTATTTTTAATGTTAAACTGCATTAAACTTTAAAAAATAGGAATGTCTCGTGTAAAACAGAGCTGTATAATTTCTGTTGGTGACTGGCAAGTTTTAATGCTCTCCTGCGTTGTGCATAATGCCTTAGATGCCATTGCACTGATTAGAGTTAATAACCCACAGTTCAGTTTTAAAGATCTTCAGTTGTGTTTGTTTACTGGTGAAAACAGGGAGGAGATGAGAATGAGAAGAAATATTTATTCTTGGGGCTAGATTTGAAGACACCATAGTGTTCTTTAGGCTCTTAAATTAACAGTGCCTTAAGTTAATTTGTTTACTAATGTCTTCTTACATGTGTGCTGTGAAGAATGACCATCTTCTGTCTTTTAATGAAAAATATATACTGAAATATCTCTTCACTTTAAATAGAAGAGGGAGATGTATTTCTTTGAAGAAAAAAAATGGCAGGACTTGCTGAGTTTAATATTCGCTTAAGAAAAAATACCAACTCATACAAACCATCTTAGTAATCATATAAATAACAGTTATGGACTGTAGTCTTTCCAGGACTCTCTTGATTCGGAACGTTGCAAGTATTCCAGCTGTTCCACCACAACCAATGACTTACGGAAATGGCAGTCCAGTATATATGTCTAATACCCTCAGGTCATTCCGAGGAAGAAAGTAAGTTCTTTGTGTGTGTGTCCTTAATTCTGGTTGTCAGGTACCCATGGTGAAGCTTGTCCAACATAAATTTCTTGTGCAACTTCCATTTTGTTAGAAATTGTAATACTGAATAAACATTTTTTGATGAAACAGGCCATGTTATGCCTCTTCTAAAGTGTTCATGTACGTGGTTTTGAGAATTTTAGTACTCATAAGTGATTTATTATGTGTAGTTTTTCTCTTCCAACAATTGTAGCCTTACAGAACCGTGATTTATGTGTTATACTTTAATACTATAATAAATCATAGTCTGTGTGTGTGCTTGACTATAAGAGGATTTGTGTCAATAAATTGAGTGTTCTCTTCCTGTTAATTTGTTAAGTGAAGAGTAAGACTGCACCCTCAAAGTTTTATGGGAATTACGATGTTTTTGTGATGACACACTAGATGTTTCTCCTGATTTTCTTGATTATATGATGCTTTATTTTTCAAATATGAAGCGCTAAATTCAAGCACATGTAAGTTCATTTTTTAAGAGGAATTTTATGTTCTACTCTTCAAAAAACTAAACTTGCTTCAATTTACGTAACTTCCTTTGTTACTCCATTTACCACAGAAAGAGGAATTTCAGAGGAATGTATGGTTTTATTTTTCTTTTAACATTCTAGAAAAAAAATCACTTCTTGTCAGTTCAGAAATGGTAGTTGATACGTGTTTATAATAATTCTGTGAATCAGCTAATAAGGAGCAAACTTTATGCAATGTGTCTTCTGTATGCTATTTCTCTTCCAGATTTAACAAATGTGACTGTAAGTACAATTAAATATATGGTATTATGTTATAGTTGAGTGTATAACTATCACGTGAACTAAAGAAGTTCCTGGTTTCATGCTGCATGCATGTTTTCCTCTTGACGAGTCTGGCTTATGGAAAGCTGTGCTGTGTTAAGAGATTTGCAGTCAACTAGTTAATCCTTAGCTCTTCAACCAACTCTTCTTAGGGTATTTTTGCTGAACATGAGTTCATGCAAGTTCTCAGTCAAAATAGGCTGAAACAGCATTATGTTTTGATTTAATGTTACATTATGAGTTCCTTTAAGATTGCAGGTAGGTAACGTTATCAGAACTTCTCTCAGACTTGAAAAGTGAAATGATGACTTGAGGTCTCTTCAGTTAAATTTTTATTATTAGTAATACTATCTGTCCGGGTCCCCAAACTGCTTTGATGCCAGCTTTTTCTGACTACAAGAAATGACTGTAGTTTTGTTAATAGTTAATTCATTGATACATGTGTACATTTGATTTCATGCTTTTTGATTAATCCCCATACTGGTTAACTTTATGCAATACTTGATGTATAAACAAAACATGAATGTCCTTTCTTATTCTTTACTGTGGATATACCACAGTATTCAACCACTTCTCAGCTTTCAGTACAACTTTTTCTTAATGAAGAGTTCAAATGCCAAGGGACTGTCTGTAAGATCACTATATCTATTCAAATGTGTTTGAATTCCTGTGATAAATGACCTAATGACAGATTCAGACAAGTGTTTGAAAATGAGACGTTAGGTTTATGACTTGTGTAGCTTAATGCAATCATTAGTCCAGTTTGTCAAATGAATAGCGTTTATTTTTTGCCCAGATTTCACAGTTTGTTATCTGTACAATCTAAGACACAGACAGATGCTATATTTTGAAAGGCTATTGTGATAAGTTTCTTTTTCTCCCCTCCCCACCACTGTATTTATTTTATTCATCATTGGGTATTCAGAACTCACAAAACTGTTCACAGCACACACATTGTTTTAAAAGAAAAGTACCCTTACATGGTCTGTATGTATCTTTAAAAAAAAATTTAAAAAGTATCTTATCTCCAAACTAGTAGGACCAGCTTTCCGAGCCATCCTACTTAATGGAATTTGCTATTTCGTTTTTAGTTGGCTAATACAGACACTCTTGTAAAGCAGTTGCATCAATTCATTTCAAGGGTAGTTGCACTTTTGTAGTTGTGTGTTTTCTTTTCCCATACCAGGTTTATTTCACCTAATACCTGGATGGGCGTGCCCTTTGTTCTGTAGAATAATTGTTTTTAGTGAAAGAGTCACTTAATTAAGCATTGGCATTTTTACTTTGTAGCCACTGTCGTTTAGTCATAGGTTTTATCTTGCAAACTAGAGGAATTACTGTCTTTCTCTCTCTCTTTTTTTTTAATTTTAGGAGACTAAGTGAACAAAGTGTTCCAAATGATGCCAAACGGCAACGGTTTCATTCACATCGTTCTGAAACAACTGTAGTTAACCCAGCAGTGCCTTTACTAGAAGAACATAGATGCTCCTTCCCAGGATCAGTTGAATCTCTACTGTTCTATGCACATTACATACCAGATTCAACTGGATGTGTTCCTCCATTGCAAGATACTTTGTTTCCAGACCGTGTAGAAAACAGGCTCCCGTTGGCTGAAGACAAGGTATTGTCTTTCTATGCCTGTGCTTTACATCTGCCTTGTGAGTAGGCAGGGTCCAGTGGTGCTGTGGGAGACCACAAAAATTTCTGCAGTGGAAATGGAGTGTCATGGAGTCTCTGTTGCTGAGCTGTTGTTAGAAGGAGTATCAATAAACGTAGCTGTCACTATGGTCCTATATAGTTGCCTTGTGTGTGGTTTTGGAGCATTCTTGGGGGGTAGGGGTGTTGCTTGCTTGTGTTGTTTAGTTTCCATACTAATGTCAGGAAACCTACATGTCTGCTCCAGGAAGCAGAAATTGGAGGGATAGTCCATTTGTCACATGATTGGGGATGGGGAGAATCTTGATGGGAAAAAAAAACCCAACCTAGTAATGTGAGAGAAGCCCATATGAATAAATACGGTGTTTGGTCTGTAAAGATGTCCTCTGCCTCTCTTTGGAAGGAGGTAAAAGTTACTGTCCTAGCTGTTCTGGAATATAGAAGAGGATGCCATCTTTACATGGACAGTGGAGTTGGAACTGTGTTTTCTGTTCTTTTTTAAATAAAAAAAGTTAATCAGTCTTCATACTTTATCTGCACCAACATGACAAAAGACTTTTTTTGTAGTATAAATATGCCTTTTGATTATAGCATATAACAGTGTTGTGAAAGAGAAACAGTTAATACCTCCTTCCCACAAAGATCTACTACTTCTTTAATAGTTTGAAAGGCTGCAGATACTGATGAGGCAAAAATTATTTTCAGTGGATAGACCTTTTATAGCAGATTGAACAAATTTAAAGTTAAAAATTTTGGCAAAATTTCTTCTGGGGAGTTGTTCAATATGTTTTCAGGTGCAGTAAAACTCTAGACAATGGAATAGGTCGTGCAAAGTGACATTGGAATTTTCTTTTTAGTGCAGTCTTCTTTGTTTCATGTAATTGTGTCTCTGGCAGGAGAGAATGTTCACTTCTCTGTATCTTTACTTTTTGAATGTTTGTGTCAAGTTAAGTCAGCAGATTTTGGAGTTGTTTCAAGCATGTCAGCAACAGACCTGTGATTTGAGCAGGAAAGAGCTCTGCAGAACAGAACTCCAGAGAGAAATTCAGCAAATTTTTCCACGTATGTTTTGAATTTGATTTCTTAATATCAGTTTGAATGTTCTTCAGCTTCACAGTTCTTCCTTCCTCTTAAACTATGATAAGTCAAATCAGTTTTTATTCTGTGATTCTTCTGTTGCAGAGAGTAGACTGTTTTTGGTTGGGTCCTCACTGAATGGGTTTGGCACTCGTAGCAGCGATGGTGACTTGTGCCTAGTGGTTAAAGAAGAACCAGTAAGTAATTTAAAACATATATAGTTAAAACAAAGTCTGTTTTTTAAAATACATGTGCTTTTATAAGGCTGGATTCTAAAATGAGAAGCAAGTCGTCAAATCCTTTTGATTTAATAACATATTTTTGCACTCATAATATCTATAAACTGTAGGCCTAATAATGTTGCAATTATGAATTTAATCCTACAAACCCTCTAACCCAAGAAAACATTAAAAAAATAAGCATTACCTTCACTCCCTAAGTGGAAGAGGCACAGCAAACCAGAAGTAAATGGCCTAGAATCATGAAGAAAACTGTTAGAGAGCTCTAACTCATTTTAGATGCAGGAGCAACCTTTAGTAAGTACAAATTTTTATTTCATTATAGATTCATAGCCACTAGTTTTAGTGAGCAGGCATAAGAAAGAATCTGATATGCAAAATCTGAAGCATTTTTGATGAGAGAAAATGTTTATATGTACAATTTAGGTTGAGACAAAAGATGTAACAAAAAAATTTAAATAGAGCATAACTTTGAAAGAATTGAAGCATCATTGAAAAGGAAGGAAAGGACATTGTTGTCTAAGTGATGCTAGGTTTTCATCAAGTTCTATGACTTGTGAATGTCTTATCATTATTTTGCATATTGAATGTAGATTGTTCTGTCTGGCTTTTGCTGTACTAAATGTGTATGTAGGCTGTGGAATGTGTTGGTATACATGTTCCTGTCTTATTCTGAGAATTGATTTTATTTGAATAGGAAAGCATGCTTACTTGGAAAACCTAAATGAGAGATACCAACATTTTTCTTTAATTTTAATATCATATTTCAGGTAAATCAGAAGACTGAAGCAAGGGAAATACTCAGCTTAGTCCAAAAACTCTTCAGTACTAAACTTTGTAAGTTCCCAGCTACAGTGAGGTGGTAAGATTTTTGGTAGTTCTGGAAGAAGTATTGATGCACAGTTGTAACTAATTTATGTAATTGCATCTTGTCTAGCTTCTAATCACAATATTGTTTGGAGAAAAGCTACAAATATTTAGTAATGGTACTGATGGATAGTAATAAGAAAACCATAACAGTTGCCCTGCAAACTAGTGGACTTCAAGAACAAGTAGCGTCTAAAATGACTTTTGAATTGTGGATCACAATTGCAGGGGCAGGCCTGAGAAGTAGATTTCTGTTTGGGAAACCTCTCTTAGTGAACTCTTACAGCTCTTTTAGATTTCAGTGCCTTCCTTGGGACAATAGTTGTAAGCATTTGTAAAATAAGATGTCACTCATGGTAAACCATGTAGAATTGGTTGGGGGGGACCTTGATACCACTGAAATAATTAACTTAGGTGCCTAGTGAAGAAAATACTAAATGTTGACAGTGCCAGGATGTATAGGAGGAACAGGTCAATTCATAGTTCTTATAGGTTGTTGTTTAGACTCCCTTCAGATGAAGAATTCACATGGGTAGTTCTTGACTTAAACGTGAAAGCCTCCTACTTCAAAGAGGCTTTTGTACCATCTTTTGAAGGATAAAAGGCCTTGTTTTATTGATGTCAATGACTCTGTCCCCCTATTTCTCAGGCTTGTGATATATTCTTCGATGCTGCTCGTTATGTTGCTGTTCTAAACAATCCTGCAATAGTAAAAGGAACAAACCATAAATTTAAATGCAGATTTCAACAGTTCATGTGCAGAGATACTTGATAGATCTGTTGCAGAATAGGCATCTGATATTTAATGGCTCATTGCTATTGTATATTGATGTTTGCATAAGGAGCCCAGAACTTAGTCTGGGTTTGCCTAGGGTGCAAGTTCTGGTGCTTTCTGAGAAGCACAGTGATAGAATAGTTGTGTTTTCAGGGATCGAGAGGGGAGCATCTAAATAAACTATCACCCTCATCTTTTCTTAAGAGGTTGTGTTCTGAGACAGAGGTTTAGACAAAATCAGGTTTGTTTGCCGGGGAATACTAGTATCTGAAAGACATGATGGTCATGTGGGAGTGATCCCTGAAGGTTTTTGTTTGTACCATTGCTCATTTTTGATACTTTCTTAATTCTCTTATCTTGCAAGTGCCTTTGGTCAGCTTAATTTAATCAAAATGTTCTTTGGAAGGTGAGACAGGACAAAAAACTACTGATAATATGGCTCCTGTCAGACTCTCTAAATTGTGGTATATAGACCTTTTAGATTATCTCTTCATAGTCTTGACATCGCTATGGGCATGAATTCCTATACCTAGCCATCTGTCCTTGTGTCTGTGTATGGATGTTCTGTGGGTAGAGCTGATAGGTGGAAGTTGTTTGTTCACCTGATTCATAACGAAATGGCTTTATCATATGTGTCTTTCCGTTTGGATTTAGTTCATTTACAAACTGTAGCTCAACTATGCGAAGGTTCAGTACTTCTGAAACAAAGGAGTTGCCCAGTTATTTTGATTAAAGCTTATTTACGCAAATGTAATTGCTGTCATCCATAATTTCAGAACAGCTTGTGGGTTGGTTTTGGTTGGGGTTGGGGAGGGAGTTCCCCTAGGCTAGACTTCAGAAGCTAATAGATTCATATGCTTTTTCTTCACCTCTGGGGAAAAGATCTTAGCAGTATGCGCTTCAGTGGCGTCCTTTTGGCACTCCTGCAGATTAGTGGAGTTAGGTTTATGTGCTTAGAACGGGCTGTTCGTTGTCAGCTCCAGATTGGGTGCTAAGTTCTTTTTTAATAGAACTGCAGGGTTTTTTTAAGTGATTTCCTACCTTCTACTGTCTTCAGAAGACAGCTGCTGCTTAATCATTGAGGATGGGATCTACAAGTATATACATTTGAAGAAAAAGCCTAGAGAAAATGTAATTCTTCTGAGACATTCCTTCAACTTAAACCAGAATCCTAGGTTTCCAGCTTTTTTTACAGGGTTAGCAGTGCATGTATGCTGCTGTGTACAAGCAAGTGTTAAGACTTGTCTGTACTAAGCTTCTTTAAGAATTGCAATTTCATACCAACAGTATTCTGTATTTTATTGCATGTGCAATGAAACTTCTCCTGGTGATTATTTTTAAGTTTTGTGCTGTCCAGTTAATAGGTATGATGCTAGCCTGTAATCTTAAAGTAATCCCTCTTTGACAGTACTAGTTAAGTATTTCCTTCTTTCTTGATTCTGTGGAAGAAAGACCAGCATATTCTCCACAAGTGTGTGAGCTGTCATTAAACTTATTCCTTGCCTCACACGAGAGAACAGAAATAAACATAGTTTAGGCCAAACAAGAAAGCTGAAGAAGTATGTGCCAAGATGTAAGAGAAACAAGGCAGTGGAGGAAAGACAAGATGTTATTTAAAACTAAGTTCTTGGACTGGTAAAAAAATAAAGGACAAAAAGAAATAAGGAAGAGATTTGTGGCATAGGTGATGTTCTAGAGCTTTTTTTAACCTTTTGCCAGATCATTTCAGTTCAGAAACTTGGGAGGAGCTGTGCCTCTCCCAACGTCTTCCTCTTTGTTCTTGCACTCTGTGATGTTCCTGTACTTTCCAAAATAAGGGCTCTAAGAAAAGTGATTCTCTGCTTATTTGACCTTAATTACATGACTGATAAATTAGGAAGCATTCCAAGTGCAGATTGGATCACTCTTCCACAATTTGTCCTTCTTTTAGGTAAATCATCTTCAGAATTTTTAAGTGCCATCTCTTTTATCCTTCATATACGGTTAATTGTGGTGGTTGGATTAGTGTTTTGATCTAGGAGGTTTGGGAAGTGGGTTCAGAATTTTGATCTAGGAGGTTTGGGAAGTGAGTTCAGAATTTTGATCTAGGAGGTTTGGGAAGTGGGTTCAGAATTTATCAAAGCTCCAGCTTATTTCAGTTTCAGGCTTGCAAAAAGGTAACAAATGTAAGCAAGGAATTTGAGCCCATCAGGTTTAAAGTCTTAGAACAGAGGCTTTTCTGTGTTACCTGTCTGCATCTAGAATACTGACTGAAATGAAGATGTATTGGTTTTTTGAGTAGTGTAGTCTCAGGGTACAGTAGGAAAAAGCTTCTGATACTTGTTCAGTGGTTTTGTGGGATGTGTTAGTCTTAAGGTATGTATTATGTTTCTCCTAGAGTAGAGCGATGTAAGGATAGCAGTAATGTATCTTCTGTATCAAAGGCTAGCAGAGTACCTGAAGCTTTTTGACTTACTTGTTCAGATACCTGCACATACCTATTTTTTACAATACTACTAACATTCCCAGAACTGCACGCTCAAACCAATGTCTTTTAGAAATGTGAAACATTAATTTAGGGTGATAATCATTACAACATATTGAAGAGAGTATAATCCAAACCACTGAGAGTGAACGTCAAACTGATTATTTTCTTCAGATTCATCTAGGCAGGATTCATTTGAAAAACAATTTAGCAGTACTGGGTTGACTGTTATTTATTCAGACGGTAAACAATAAAGATCTCATTTTCCCTTAGTTATACAAAGAGGTGCAGTAGGGTTGAGACTAGGTTATCAGAGTGGAATCTGCTTAATGGTTGTCTAGTGGGGAACATGAACCAGCTAGGACAAGTGAGGGAACTTGAACTCAAATGATGTTGAAGGACTATGCAGGTGGGTGAGTGAATTCCAAACATCAACAATTAACTCATCCTGTGCTGGCATGTACCCTCCTAGATTCTTCATGACTGGATTCAGACTTCTGTGTCGCCCAGTTTCTCCTATAGTATAACTCTGTCAGTGAGAGCAGGCTACATGTGCAGGATGCCGAACATCTTTTTGGCATATACCATGTCTGGGATTAATATTTTATACAATTGCTTAATCTTTTATTCTGTAAAAGAAATGAGAGGCTTAAGCTGTTTAATTGGAAATTCTGCATAAGTTATTTATGAAACAGTGCTTAGTTGTCTTTGAAGTGGTTATATTCATTTTCACTACAGCTGAAGCAGCATTTGTGACTTTTTCATAGACATACCCAAAACTATGGAGCAGCTATGTGGAATTCTTTATATGTATTTTGGTGTAGTCCCTCTGGTCGTAGCTTCAAGGTCCAATAGTTTACTAAGGCACTTACTCAATTTGTATGTATTTCATGATTCCACATCCTGTGTTTGTGACTGTCACACATACAAGGGAAGAAACAATCTAATGTAGAATAGACATTCTGCCAACAGTGTCATTGGTGTGAGGCAAGAAAGAGGGTACCAGCAGGAAGTTACTGCCTTCTAATACCCTCTTTGCTTTGTTTCACCATGGGAAACAGATTGGGATTATGTTTTGTGATTTTTATTTTTTTTTTTTTTTTTTTTTTTTTTCCCCTTTTCCTTTGCCCAATAATTTTGCACAAACTGTTGGCTGCTGCCAATATGTGTGAATGCTTTTTTTTTTTTTTTTTTCTCCCCTTCTCCTTGGCCAACTAATTTGGCACAAGCATCCATCAAGTGTTGGGAGACATTTGCAGACAAGGGTGTATTTAGAAGTGGATTGCCACTAGAATGAGTTCAGTTAACTTCTGAAGGGCACTTGAGAAAGGTCATAATGAGGAAGGTTGAATTGCTACAGCATGCAGATAGATACACGCTGTTGTATACCATGTGCTATAGCATTGGGCATCTTCATCTTACTTAAATTTGGTAGTGAAAGGAAAGGGGGCAGAGCGCTTTACACACTTAATAGCTTTGCTTTAAGCATGTTCTGGGATGTTGGAGGAGGGATGCTTCGATGTGTCTGCATGTGCACCTAGGAAGAGGGTTTGCTTCTGTAAGTTGTACTAGATTGTACATTCAGTGAACGTGGGTTGGAGTTCTGTAAGATTCTTCCTTTAACGTCAGTAAGTTAAGATTATCTCTTTTTTTTGAGTGCCAGTCTGTGTGGTGTTTAGGATCATACAATGCATTCAAATCCAGGTAAAGGATTGCCTCAGGTCAAATATGTCTAAACATACGTATCCAGAAAACACTTTCAGAAAGTCTCACCAAAAAAAAAATGTAAAATTTGTTTTAATTGAATATTGCACGGTAGGATTTTACCAAACCTGAAGTTGTCATCCAAATGCAATGGAGATGACACCATTTAATCAAGGCTGGTATCCAAACTGATAGAAATACTTCCCCCACCCCCCCCCACCCCCCAAAAAAAAAGTGAAGATCAGCTTTTATTTAAGGTTATTTTTAGTCTGCATTACTTCTAGTTTTGTCATACTCATTTATGCTAGTTTGAAGTTAATTTATAGAAGCAAGGGGAAAATGTATGGTATTAGATATGGGCAAATTCAAGTGGTCTTAGATTTTCGGACAGGAGAAATTACTAAAATCGTGCCTTTTGCTCAGTTTCATATAAAATAACCTACGGGCTCTACTTCTATTTGTCTTTTCCATTGCTTTCTTGGGTGCATTGCTCATTTGGGATAAATATAGCCTGAGATATCGTCAAGAGTAGGGAAATCACAGATAATATGACTGACCCAACAATTTTGGTGAGTTGAGTGCAAAGGTTCATTTGGTGGCACTGTCTGCGTCTGGCAGAGCTTAGTGTGCTTGGGTTTGGGTGGTCTGCCATTGAGCCTGTGCCTCTATACAGTGTGGAAAATCGTCTGAGGTGCAGTCCTATGATTGTATATTTATTGCATGTCCTATCACTGTTAAAACAAAAGGCAGATAAAGTTTGTCCCATCTTTGATCCTGTTTTCAGTAACAATTGATAGGAAATTTATTTCTTGGTACTTTGTCAGTCAAATAAACAGTTTGTAAAGGAAGTTTTAAGCACAATCAGTGTATAGTGAAGACAGTTATGTTAATTTTTTTTGCTGAGCCAAATACATAATTTCAACTGTAAGCAAACTAGACATGATTTAAAAAGTATGAGGCTGATCATATGCCCGTTGCTACAATGTAGTGCTGGGCTTCAGTGGCTGGCCATCCTGGCTGGATATATTCTTGCTCCCTTCTTTTTGAACCTTAATTATAACTATTCAGGATTTCTATTACAACTACTGCTCAATGAAAACATTGTAAAACTGCATTCAACTACATTGAATATACTTCCCAGAGAAAAATCTTCCACTAATGTTTTTCTCTAATGTTTAGTATGGTTGTTTTTTTTCCTCACACACTTTCCTAGATTGTAGTTTTGCTGCAGTTGCTGAAGGTTACTTAGTTTAGCACAACCCTTCTGAGAATATTTTTGCTAAATTTGATAAGCTACTGTTTGCTTTAAATCTGTCAATTTGACTCCACTTTAGGATCTTTTTTTGTGATCAGCATCTTACATGAAACTTAATTGCATATTTTTCTCCATTTCAGCAAGCTACATTGAACGACCTCAGCTGATTCGAGCAAAAGTGCCAATAGTGAAGTTCAGGGATAAAGTCAGGCAAGTATTCTGTTCAACATAATTTTTTAGACTGACACAGGAAAGTACTCTCTCTATATATACTGTCCATGTGAGTAATCTCACTGAAGTCATGCTTTGTTTATTTGTGTTGTAGTATAGTTGTATTGGAAATTTGTACAGCTAGTGTGCAGTGGCAGTCAGCTTATGTCCTTGATGGCCTGAAACACCACTTGTGGTTGAGATACTGTTTAGTTTCTGTGATGTGAATTAGTAGCAGTACATCACATGTTTGTATGGGTTATTTGTACATAATGGACTCCCATTGACAAAGGGTTCGTGACAGAAAAACAACGGTGGGAAGAAAACTGTTGTGAAAGATAATTTTGCTTTCTGTGCAAACATAACTATTGAGCTACTTAAGGACTAATTCACAGTGTTTATGCTATACAAGCACCACCAAAACAAACTTCAATTTCTTGCGATTATGTTGTTTTCTTGATTAAAAAATTTTGGTTCATTTTAGAAGAGTATATCCAGCTGTCTTCCAGAGAGGCATTCTGTGTTTAACAAAGTAGTATTGCATGTTCTATTAAGTGTTAGGTACTAATTTTATGGCCTTTTTTTTTTTAGAAGGGGGGAGGTGGTTGGCAAGAAGTGGATGTTTTGCATGTTACTGTATTCATTGTATCTCCATTATGAAGACATGAAAATGAATAATCAAGAGAGATGTACTAGGACTGAGAACGTGTTTCTTATTTTGTGTGATAAAAGTATCTGACAGAGGAAAAAGTTGGCAAAGCACCTCAAATTGGTTGGGAGCCTAAGTAATGTTCAAATCTTCCTATATTTATGGGCTTAGATTTTCTAAGACTTATGTGTATCACCTTCATATAATAACGTAGATTGGCTATTCTTTGTAAATAGGACTTCGAACGACTCTCTTCTATCTGTCTTATCCTGCTTATATGCTTGTAAAATTTTGCAACTCTGTTGCTGTCTTTCAAAAACAAATAAGCCCACTTCTCCGTCCTCCCTTTGTAAAAGCATCTCACAATATGCTTTTATCACAATATGCCTTTATCAGAGCAGAAACCCTGCTGTGATGAAACTGAATCTGTCATATTTACAATCTCAACTAATAAATATCATCCACTTAAGCTTTTCTTGCATCTGAGACTATAGAACACTTGTTAGGGTTTTTGCTTTATACTTTTTTTTGGTTTACACCTAATCCTATATTTGCTTCTGTATACTTGCCTACCTTTTAAAAATTTGAATAATTCTTATCTAGTAACTTTCTCCTGTAACAGTACAGAAGGTTGTTTCCCCCATGCTTTCTGAAAGTATTAAACTTGTCAAGCTAAAATTTGGCGTATCTGGCTTAGCTACATATAACAACGCTATGTTTTTGATAGATACATGAAATTGTAAATTCCTGGTGCTAATATTGAATAAGTTGTGGGGTTATAGCAAGAATATTTTCCAATTTAAAATCAGAAAATAAACTTTAAAAAGAAACCTTAAATACGGAAGTGATTATGTCAGAAGATTAAAATCTTTTTGTAGGCATTTACAGTTCATACTAGAGTCACTTGCAAAAAACAGTAACAGTCATGATATTCATATACCTTACAAACAGGGTTTAAAGAATTCTTTATTTCCTACTAAATCAAAGTATAATCTTCCTAGGCTAGAAGCTGCCCATTACATTTTTCAGAGAAAAAAACAGTACTGTTCACCATCTGGTTTCCCGTGTTGTTTTTCTGGAAGAGGGGAGTGGTGGGGAATGATGTTACTTTGGGTTGGGTTTTTTTTGTTTTTTTTTTTTTCTCTTTTTCCACTTATCTTTCTCTCACATAACCTGTCACCTCCACCTATGTTTTGTCTTTTTATTTAGGCATATGTCTCTTTCCAATGTCTTATCAGCCTCTGCCTTTTGTAGGCTCATACATATATATATATATATATATACATGCACATTCATTCATTTTTTCACAGAGATCTTGAAAAATGGATTGGATATTCTGTACCAAGGGCACTAAGCTTGTATTAGCCAAAGCCAGAAACTAAACATGGCCAGTTTCCTGTGAAAGCCAGATTTCTTAATGCCCAGCTGCTGGGAGAAGATGGTGGAATTCAATGGGTGGTATCTCTGCATCTGGATTCTAATGTGTTGCCAATGGTCCATACACACCTGAAAATTGCCATTTCCCACTTACTTTGATTTGGTGAATAAGAAAGCATTCAGTTTGTATTTGTTCTCCTTTTTCATCTTAAAGAGTTTTTTAGTGCTGTAACAGTAAGAGAAGATCCATTGCAGTTGAAGGCTAACTATGGGGTTTTTTATTTTTAGTCTTTCCCAGGAAATAATTCCAATGCTGCCTTTGCTACCAGACAAGCCTTTGATTAATTAACAAAATTTCGGTACTACGGAGGATGCAAAAGCTTCCTCTGCTGCTGCATTTGATGTGCAGTTGACTCTTTTTCCTCTCCTTTAGTGCTTTCAGTAGAACTTGAGTCCCAACAGTACAAAACCTTTTTCACTTGCCATAACTGCAACATCTATTAAATGTGCATATTAAAGTACAAAATAACTACAATAGAACTTGCTTAATCAGTATCTGGTAAATAGTAATCTTCTCAGTTGGGGTTAATTGGAATTACACATGCAGCCTAGCACATAGTTCTTTATTATATTCACACATACAACTAATATTCTTACTAGTGTTTATGCTTATTTCTACAACAGTCAAGCTGTAGCTCAAGCTTGTTTATTTCATGTACTATTATGTACTATGCTCTTAAAACATCTAAAAAGTCATGCTTGATATTAATTCAGGTTCAAAATGATATAATATTTTTGATGCAAAGAATGTTTTAATGTAATTAATGATATCAAAATCCTTTTGTAGGCATCATATTAATGCGTTTTATCCAGTTTAATAAATTCCAGGTCCATGTTCCCCTTACAATAATCCGAGAAAATGCAAAGGAATATTCAGACAAACAAATGCTGTGTGAATGAGACTTGGATATATAAAATGGGAATAGCTGTACATTGCACATAGCTACTTCTTTATCAATAATAGGCTCTTCTTGCAAGTTACAGTGTTGCTATAGCTTATTGACTATGAATTTAATATTGTTTCTTGAGTACTGTGAGTAGTTAAGCTCTATATGCAATATGAAATTCAAACGTTGGGTCAGGGTGTGATATAAATAAAGCAGGTAGTGCTTGTTTGCCTTGTTCTTATTTGCTGTTAACAGCATGAAACAGTTACTAAAACTGTTTTATCACAAAACATGCAATGTTTACTAATAAACAGTTTTCATTTCAAAGTGCTTGCTGATTGTCTCTGACCATTTTTGTGGAAAAGAGATTCTTACCTTTTGACCTCTTCCAATTCTCCTTCTCAGTTCATTGGCATGATTTCCTAAACTAATACCTCTGAGAATCCTTCCTGGCATTGAAAGTTGTCCATGGTAGATCATGTAGTAGAAGTCTAGTTGGGAGAAAGATTTGTTAAAAATCAAAAAAATATTTGCTATGTTAAGTTGTCCTGAGGTCTAAATTTGGATCTACTTGTATTCTCTATGTAAAACAACAATTACATTTTTATAATAATGGAATTCAAGTCTGTAAGCAATTCAAGTACTATAAAGAAAACCAGAGCAGAAATCACAGCATCAAAACTCTTTTTGAAGAAAGTTTCTAGAGTATTATCTTAAAGTTGCATTTCTCTACCTCTGTCACTAAGTAGGTAATAAATATTCTGAAATTGAATACCATGATTCTCTTTCTTTTCTCCTCTCTAATAGCTGTGTGGAGTTTGACTTGAATGTAAACAATGTTGTAGGAATAAGAAATACATTCCTTCTGAGAACCTATGCATACCGTAAGTTTTTAATGTATTTTCTTATTTCTATAAACTTTGCTTTTTGAATTTGTATTTTGGTATTGATAGACTATTAAAATTCAGTTGAATATATTAGGTTGCTATATATATCTAATTACCTAATTAGCTGCATTAGATAGCTTTAAGATAAGTTCTTGTTGCTCACTCCGAAATATATAGAGAAAACTGGTGTATCAGCTAGGTATGTTTTTAATTACATATTATAATATTCAGAAGATAACAAAGATTCTTTGCATTAAGGTCCACATACCTACTACAAGGCCTGCTTCAATATTCTGCAGATAACAAGTTCATTATACTAATGATTAACTAGTGGTATAATTTTCAGTTTTGTTTATTTTCTTACAGCCACTTACAGGATGTGTGGCTGATAGCTAGCTGTGTCTGTATGCTGCTACAGAGTCTTCCCTTGAAAAATTCAAAATACTGCTTCAGTTTTTATACTAACCCCAAAACAAAACTGGTTTGTGTCTGCTCAGGAGTTTGCATCTTAGGGAGAGATGGTGAATCAGACTTCTGAAGGGGAGGCAATAAGAACACCACTCTTAGTGCTAAACTAAGATTTTCTTACTTAGCATTACGATATCATTTGGTGGATAAATATGTAAGGAGTGGACCTCAGGCTAATTCTTCTAGGCCATTTGTGGTTCTTCATTTACCACCTGCTTCAGTTCTTGCATACAGGAATTTCTTTCTGTTTAGGGTAGGAAGTTATCAGTAGAAATTACCTTTAATAGGTAATTTTTACTAATATTTCAGTCAGAGTAGTTTCACTGTTCTATGTTCACGTTATTAGGAGAGTCCACAGTTCATCCTGGATCAGTTGGTTAACTGTGACTTCATACATCCAGGAAGGTGTATGCTTGGAGAAACTCTAAAAAGGTTAAGGAGATAATCTTTTGTCATTCACAGCAACAGGTGAGGGGTCACTTAACCAAGTCTAAAGTTGATGTAGTTGTTCCTAGCTTCTGCCACAGATTTCTCTTATTCCTCTCAGCAAATCACTGTACGGTAGACAAGACTCCAGATGTGAAAAGAGCAGTGGAAGGGGTCCTCGTATCCTGCCTTTTCTTCCTTTCTACCTTGGTGCCCAAATTAACTTTGTCTCCTCATGAAGGATAAATACTGTTATTTTTTTGAGGTCAAGGAGTGAGTTAGTACCTAAGGGAGACTTGTGATTTGAAAAGATTATCTCCTCAATGTGCTTGACCTTCCTAAATAGGCAAACCATATCAAGCATTTCTGTCTTGTCATCTTTGGACCAGAAGACTCTCAAGTGTCATAAGGCAAACAGAAGTAAATGGAAGCTTTTACCAGACAGTCTTTTTGCATGCTTTTATAAGTCATATCAACCAGGGTACATAGCATTAAAAGTATTAGCCTGCTCACTTAAATTCGTGGATGAAGGGCTTCTCTGTGCATGGGAGACAAAAAGTTCAAATTGCCTTTCGTATGGAAGATGTATTGGTCTTGTCTTTCCATTAGAACAAATTAGATGCTCGGACAAACAAGGGACTAGTTATCTTAGTGAACATTATAAAAAAAAGAAAAAAAAAAAAACAAACTCAAAAATATTTCTGCGGATGCTCTTCTGTCTGTTTTTGAAATCAGCCTTTCCATGTTGGTGCATAGGTGCTGTAGAAAACATTAAAGTGGTATGGCAAAGTAAAGCAGAGTGTCCACAGAAAATGTAGGTAGGTTAAGCAGAACTAGAAACTGAAGTCTATGCTGTTGTGTTGTCGGTTGTTTGCCTAAGGAGGCATGTCTGCAACTAAATCAGCAATTCATGGTAGATATTTTTCAGTAAGTGGAAGCTGGACCTTTTAGCTTTGCACAAATGATATTACTTGAGCATTTTCTTGAAGGGGTAGCTTGTTGACTGATGAAAGAGTATCTATCAGGAAAAGTTTACTGGTCATGTTGCACACTAACTTTGTTATGTACTAATTACAGGCCCTAGCAGACAGAAAATCTTACCTCAGAATAAGGTCAACTGAAGAAAGATCTTTTCTACTGTGACACACACATACAAGAGAGCCCCATTTGGAATTTGAGCCTATTTGCATTTTTCTCTCATAGAAAAAGTCATATTTCAGTTAACGCATGTTCATATGGTGATTCATTTTAGGACAAGAGGAAGCGGTCTCAAGTTGTACCAGAGGAGGTTCAGGCTGGACATTAGGAAGAACTTCTTCACTGTTAGAGTTGTTAGGCATTGGAACGGGCTCCCCAGGGAGGTGGTGGACTCACCATCCCTGGAGGTGTTCAAAAAACGTTTAGATGTGGCGCTTGAAGACATGGTTTAGTGGGTTTAGCGGGCATGGTGGCATCGGGTATACGGTTGGACTTGATGATCTTTGAGGTCTCTTCCAACCATAATGATTCTATATCTGTACAGTAATTCTTGTGTGTCTCACAGTTAGTGTACTAGTAGTCATTTTTTTTTAGTTCAACCACTGGTGAATAATGTCAGGAATGAGGTGATTTGTGGTAATGAGTTTTGTTGTTTCTGAGAGATCTTCTAGCTCTAGGACATTCATTCTGAGAAGAGGAGTACCACTTACAGGGGCATGTGTGCTGAACCACTGTGAACAGGTGGTGAGAAAATCACATGCTTGATACTATTTTCAGAATAACAGAGAACACCCCAACTGATGATGTTGCAGGGTATCTGTTGTCCTAGATGAAGTGATTACCTATTGAGTATTCCTGTCCTAATGGGCAGAATACAAAACTTTGCACAATGACGTCAGGTTAGAAAAGTTATTCCAAAACATACAAGGTATTGTAAGGCCGTCACAAGGCACTTGACTGAGCTGATGATCTCCTTCCATGTAACTGCAAATAATAAATTAAGTACACTGCAAGGTCTCTATGGGGTGGTGG